CCGTGAAAATAATTTACTTGTGTATAGTATAATTTAATCACTTAAATTACTTGTGTACTTGTTTTACTTGTGTAAAGTATAATTAAACCACTCAGACTTGAAAAAAAGTCACTCAGCTTGCAATATAGTACTGCGAGTTTCTTTCAGTTTTTGTGCACTATCTCACTCATAACGCTAACATGGATCCATATGTGACATTATTATTGATGACAGCAAAATACATCATATTAATTCCTCTATTATCTTGCACAATATTTGAGAACAAGTAGGCCATTTTGTCACGTTCACACAGCAATATGGTTGTCAGTTCTGTATTTGAGAGTAATACGGTTAAGTTCACACACAGTTAGATTTTATTTTATTTTTTAATGGGAGGCACAACTTGGCCACGAACCACAAACTTGCATGCACCCGCATTTTCTGCAAACCTCTGCTGTATGACTGGAACAGTAGGATAATGGCCTATGTTTTTTTGTTTGTTTATTTGTTACTTGACAGCGGTGGCCACTGTAAGCTGTCTTGGAAAAGAGCCTTGTGAAGATTCTTGACATTCTCATTTTATGTTTTACAGAAAAAAAAATAACAATACACAGAGGGTGAGTAAATAATGTCAGTAAATAATGAATTTTCATTTTAGGTGAAATGTCCCATTATGTGTTGATGTCACTACCATTGGTTTTTATATAAGCTCACAGCAGGCTTTCATTAATTTCCGAGTTTCCAATGTGTAATTACTCCAAAAAAAGTCCAAAGACTGTTTTTACTAATCAGAATCTTGTAATTATGGTAATTCCAACATGACATGAATGTACCATTCCTCTTCGACTCTGCATGCAAGCGAGCAGAGCACTGTGATGCGACAAAACGAGATGCTCCTGTGATAATCATTAAAGTGCTGTCACGCACTTGTTGTGTAAGCAGCTTTGTTAATTATAATGGAAGTGTTCTATTTTTTCGCATAAGATCACAAGCACAGTGTTGATGTGGAGTAAAAGGACGCATGTTCTCTTTCTACCTTTTCTGTTGTATGTAGGTCAGCTTCCTCTCTCTGCTTCTCTCTCCCTCTCTCTCTCATTTTCCTCTCTCTAGTGCATTCTCTATCATCACATCTTGCACAGCATGCAGAGAACTGTAGATATGTCAGTGTGCTCACCACTGTTAATAAAGCACACAAACATTCACACACCGCCCCTAACCACAATTTTTTTTTCTCAGATGGTTTAGTCTTAACTGTCATACAATTTCACACGTCCATCTAACCCAAAATTACTTTCTTAAATGGACTTGTCCTGGATTCTGGTCCTGGATGCTGACTAGTCAATATACTGTAGCATACGAAACTGGAAACTTAATTAGTGTCCTTAATATTATGCTAAAATACTTTTTTTTTTTTTTTTAAACAGTGAGATACTCAAACCATGCTATTGTCATGACTAAAGAGGGTGTGCCTCATGCCTAACAACTTCCTTTTAGCTGTTGACAATATATTCCCAAATATATCACAATACTACTCAAATGTGAAGCTGAATCGCTCTGGATAAGAATGTCTACTAAATATCTTAAATGTAAATATAGCACAGGATCATTCAACATGCAACCAACATGAACAACTCAACATGAAATCAAAACATGCACATTACAATTTATTGGTAGTATATATGTTATTCTAAAGAAAAACAGTTTCTCTACGTAATCTTTATTTTGATAAGCCACACCCACTTTCACCTAAATAAAATCCTGTCCTACATTTTTCTTGTTGAATACCCTCTTTCACTTTATGAAATATGTCACATTATGGAAGTAAAATGGGTAGCAAACAGTAATTCACAATTGACTTCATATAAGCACAGGCAGCCATTTTAGAGTTGTGGGCTTCTGCTGTGTTGTGTTGTGTTGTAATGCATGTATAGGTCCATAGCAGTGGGACAGATTGTTCTATGATCAGGTCCTCAGCCTCTTCCTCCACAGTGCCCATGCCCCACAGGGCCGCAGATGGCAGCTGGCAGATAGAGCAAGAGAGTTTTTTAGACTGGAAAAGATGCTGCGGGGTTCCAGATTTCTGCTGTGAATGGACATGTTGCGCAGATCACAGTCTTTTGCACAGAATCAGCTCTTAATTTTTCTTCATCAGAATTTCCCCACTGCTGTGTTTTTAGCTCTAGATGACAGGACACTTTTTAGACACTGTTCCCAAGAGCGCAGGCAAATGGCATGAAAAAAGCTGAGCTGTGTCCTTGCATTAGCATCACCTGAACTGTTTTATTTTTTTTTCCTCCAGGAACAGAAACGACACTACCTATGAGTCTGCATATCTGCGCCACTTTGGGAAAAGTGCTAGAAGCGAGTAAGGTCTGGCGAGACTCCTGAGACACTCTCTGACCTGTCACGACACCAAAGAGTGGACGCACAATCTGTCAAGCTCAACGCAGACCCCTTAAGGAGTTCTGGTCTTTTAAGGACTGGGAGAACACCTTCGAGATCTTTCCAAAGCCACATGAGCACCTCCCCGAAAAACTTATCAGAACAAAGGTCAGGGAGGTTGTAAGCACAGCCAATCACGAGGAGAAGCAAGAACAGGGCAAGGTCATACCACAACGGGACTACCACAACGGGGACCTGAAACAGGAAGAAGGTTGTGACATTGAGGTGGATGTAGCTTTTGTCACATTGTTTGCATCAGTTCCTTTCTGAAACTCACCAAGCATCCTATGAGACAGTCTACGGACATTTGGCTAACAACAGTATTAAGCTAAGCAGTATTTCTTAGTAAGATCCTAAGATTCTCTTCAAGGTACTCTGTATTTAGGTCGTTATTGTATTTATGTCCTAATAAATGTGCTGTAACAGTGTAAACACTGAAACAATTGTCAACATATCTTCTAATATTGAATGTGACACTTTGTAGTGTTCAGCCATTCATTTGTAAGTAATAATATCCTGTTCCATTAAATTAACAACTCTGTTGTGTAATATCAGTAAACAGGGTGTAAGTTGTTGCCTCAAGACTTTGTTAACCACTAGAACCACAAACTGCAACTTCTCGTGACCTCCGAAGCAAGACACAGTCCTCCATTGTCCTTCAGGGCCTTTTTTATACTGTGCACTGGCTGGAAGTCTTTGCCCATCTGTGCCACATAAAGACTCAGGGTGACGCAGTCCATGACCAAGGAGGGACTTTGAGACAGCAATGGACAAACCCATCCGTCCTCACGTCCCCTGCAATGGCTGAGTGTCCTCCCCCAGTGCACTGAAGACCTACTCTGCAGGAACGTACTCTACACCCAGTTCCTCTAGCCAAGAACACCAAGCCTAAGAGTGAATGTCCTGCCTGCGGCGCCAACCTGTGACCATCCCCATGGACACTGTCAAGATCATCCAGTCGGAGAAGTTCCCTCTGGAGGGTCCGGCTCCAGTGACCCAGCCTCGCTACGCCCCACCTCCCCGCGTGGCCTGGGATGGAGGAGGCGAGGGGGAGGTGATCGTCAACCAGGCATGTGGCGACCTATCCATGGAGGTCAATGGCAACACCGTTCTCCCACCCAGACCCTTAGTGTCTCCTGCCCCTGTCCTCCGCCGTGAAGCAAGTTATCTTGCCCAGCGCAAGGCCAGCACATCTGACATCTGCTACCACCAGTTCCACTACAAGATGGACAACGTCATCGTCAACCAGTACGTGCTCCGCTCTTCCTCTACCTCTTCCTCCTCATCCTCCACCTCCTCAGGCCCTGTGATGCCATGCGAACCACTGGACTGCCCCACCTGTGGACACACCTACAACTTTGCCGGCAAGCGCCCACGCATCCTGTCTTGTTTGCACTCAGTATGTGAGGAGTGCCTGCAGATCTTGTATGAGTCCTGTCCCAAGTACAAGTTCATCTCCTGCCCCACTTGCCGCCGTGAGACCGTGCTCTTCACCGACTATGGGCTAGCCGCTCTGGCCATCAACACCAGCATCCTCAGCCGGCTTCCGCCTGATCCGGCAGGGACTGTGCAGTGGGGCAGCGATGGTGACCGCAGCTGCTATCAGACGGTGCGCCAGTACTGTCAATCGGCTTGCACTTGCCACATTGCCAACCCTCTTTCCTCCTGTGGCATCATGTAGAATGGAGAGGATCCTGAGCTCATCCCAAAAGCTATTCCACCATCTGAAAACCTTGAGTCACACATATTCACCTTCTCCGAAGGGTCACAGATGTATCTACAGTATATATATAATAGCACAGGATGCTATGTGAACTTAAAGTGAAAAGGACACTTGTGTGTAAAGTCAGAGATATGAAATATCAGAGTAAATGTATTTTATGTATGAACTGATTTCCCTATAGCCCTCGATCTCTTGTTTGGATGTGTTCGTCATTGACATCTCTTTAAATGGGAATGCCAAGGGAAGTCTATCTCCCCCTATCCTGGGTATAATACAGACCAATAAAGAATTAAAAAATCAAACTGTTTGTTTGGTCTAAACTTAAACTTAAAGTTAGGTGCTGTAAGTGACTAGGCCATTTTACTAACATCCTCTAGACTTAGTCATTGAATTAGGCCCCACCCATTCCTACAAACACATGCCCTCTATCCAAAATCACACCCTCTTTAGACATACCAGCCCAAATATATATATATTTTTTTATGAATATGAAGGATCATATTTTCTAGATCACATTACTGACCTGATGGAAATACATTTGACATTACAGATACTTACATATATTCCACAAGACAGAGTTGAATTTACACAAATTACCCTGTTCAAAATGTACATATTCTTGGTTCTTAATATCATGTGTTTCCAAGCATCAATTACTGTTTGTAGCCTTTTCTGATAGTTGTGAATAAATTTATATTGTGCATACTATAGATAAATTCAGTTATTATTTTGTACTGTGTAGTACAGTATATTAAAATCCATCTCTCTTTTTAAAAATGCAAAACATCAGATTCTGCTAAGGGAATGTAAACTTGTATGAGTATGTAATCTTGCAAGCAAAGTGGTGTATTGTATATTTTATTATATTAAACAATTGTTATGAAATCACCTTAGTATTACAAAATAACAAATTATTTTAGCAGCAAAAGTTAGTTTTACAGACTGAGATCATGATAAATGAGAAAATAACTATAATACAATGAATGGATCTAGTGATGAAAACTACACATTGGTAGCATTTTGCATTGTAAATTTATAAACAATAGGATTGACAAAAACAAAGTGAACTGACAGTTAAAAAAACAAGTATCCATTAAGTACATGAAGACTATTAGTACTACTCAGTACGTTATTTAAGTGCAGCCTTAAATACTTGACTAAAACAAGCTATACATATAAAAGTGCCATAATCCTCAGGTAAATGGGAGGTGTGAGCCACCATCACTGGGCATCAATGTGGCATGAATGTTAGAGACGTGTAGTCATACTTCTACTCCTACTGAAAAAGCTTGGCATTCTTGTTTTCTTCTTAGGCTGAAAGCTTGTGTAATAAATGAACATTAAGAAATGTAAAAATGATACATAATCATTCAAATAGTAAGTATTTCAAATGTTTGCAATAGCAATCTAAAGAAAATGTAAGACTTTAATTTTCTCAAATTTACCTTTTGCTTTCTCTGTCAGACTGTTGTGTTTCCTGCCTTCTAAATGATGCAAATTTCAGCTTTTGGATCTTACTCGGCTTTTTGTGCTCATTGTCGGGTAACTGGTTTAACAAACAGAGCAGCAGTCATATTATAACTTTTAACATCCACATGTCATGCTACTTAGACTAATACTACTATTAAAGGGAGAGTTCACCCAAAAATGAAAATCAGTCATTTACTCATCCTCATGTTCCAAAACAAGACTTATTTTTGGCAGAACACAAAAGAAATAGTCTAGTAGAATGTCGAAAAGTGGATGAGGACCAGGGGCTCCAAAAAGTGCTATAAAATAGTGCTCATAAAAGTATATATAACCTTATGACTTTATAAGTCTTTATAACTACACTCTATAAGTCTTCTGATGGTATGCAATAGCTTTCTGTGAGAAACAGACTGAAACTAAAGTCTTTATTCACTGAAAATCTTATCAGCTGTGGTCAAAATTAACTTTCATTGTATGAAAGCAGCTTGGACAGTCTGTTATAATAATTCTTTTAACTCAACAGAATAAAAAAAAACATGCAGATTTCGAAAGATGTCAGGGTGAGTAAATGATGAATTTTTGGCCCATTCACTATTTACTTACAGAATCTTTACCATCAGATTCCTCGACTAAGGCATCTGCAATAGGTTTGTCTCGAACAAACCTTGTTCTCCCTGCTGATTGCACACAGCTGTTTCATATCACTCACTCACTATATAACACTCACTCAAACAACCATTCTCCCCTGAGTATTGTTCAGCCTGTACCCCGTTCCGAGTCTCTTTGTTTTGCCTTGCCTTGCCTTGCCTTGCCTTGCCTGTTCTCTGGTCTTTAATCCATTGAAAAGTTAAAACTTTATCCAACACAGGGCTGTATAACCACCAGCCCTGTGGTGTCCGATATGGCCAAATCGTCCACTCCAATATTTTTTTATTCTTGATTCTGCTCTGCTACACTTTATTACACATTACACCGCTTTGTTTGTTGTTAGGATGGTCTTCCTTACCAGTCTCAAACATGTCAAAATTATTGAGATGGCCAGTCAAATCAAAGAAGGCATGAATTCCGGTGAGTTTAAATTGTAAATGAGGGCAAGGTAAGAAATAAGTAGCAAAACATTTATTATTTTACATTAGAATTTTTAAACGACCAATAGTATTATGCAGTGATGCATGAGGATGAGCAAATAGAAGGAGACGGGGATGAAGGTTGAACCTCATCCTCTGTAGAGCCAAAAACTGGCTGTGATCCTTCAGATGTCAAAGCCCTACACTGGTGAAAATGACAAGGACTAGTTGTACTAACCGTCTCAAATCCAGAGTCCTCGGATTCTGATTTTACATTGGATAGTGGGACAGAGTCCCTAGAAATGGAATTTAATCTGTCCACACCAGGTCCAGGCTGTAAGTATAAATCCTGGTGGCCTTCGGTCACCCAACTCTCCAGAAGATTCCCAAAATTCCTATATAGGTTCATTGATAATGAATTTCTCTTGTACGGTATACTCTGTTTCTTTCAGTAGTCAATCAGAACATGTGAAACTCTTGGCAGCACCTTGACTTTCTCACAACTGACTAGAAACGTGCAGGTCGATTTGTCACATTGAACTAAAAGCACCTTTCTAGAGCCGCCCACATTCCGACTCCCATGTTTCTCAATCACCCTCTGACAACTGCTCCACTTCCGGTGCCGTTCCTAAAATCCTGAGCTCATGTTCTTGGTGGATCTGTCAAGACATGTTGTGAGGCTGATGAAACTTTCATAAAGCCCTTAAACAAAGTAACAGAAACTGCTGGTATGTGTGCTGAGAAGACGGCAAATAAGGTCTTTAATCCATTGAAAAGTTAAAACTTTATCCAACACAGGGCTGTATAACCACCAGCCCTGTGGTGTCCGATATGGCCAAATCGTCCACCCCAATATTTTTTTATTCTTGATTCTGCTCTGCTACACTTTATTACACATTACACCGCTTTGTTTGTTGTTAGGATGGTCTTCCTTACCAGTCTCAAACATGTCAAAATTATTGAGATGGCCAGTCAAATCAAAGAAGGCATGAATTCCGGTGAGTTTAAATTGTAAATGAGGGCAAGGTAAGAAATAAGTAGCAAAACATTTATTATTTTACATTAGAATTTTTAAACGACCAATAGTATTATGCAGTGATGCAAACTACTTGACTTTTTTGTCAAATTTTGCCATTTTGAAGTAAAAAAAATATAGGTCTTTTAAGTGATTCATAATTCATAATTAAATGTGATTAAAAAAATCAATAATGGAGCAATTTTTGACATATTAGACAAAAATGGGTTTGGTCCACCCCATTAATGTTACGCCCTTGATCCAGCATAATATGAAGGACCTTTTCAAATCCCTACGCATACATGCATGAGAGAAGTGAATAAAGTGAACCATTTGTAACAACTTAATGTAAGTGTTGTTCACTTGGCAACCGTCAATATTGGTTGACTACCAACTCAAGCTTGAGGAAATCATTTTTCACATAGCCTATATAATGCATAGTTAGGACCTGAAACTAGGACCATAGAGTGTCATTCAGTTCACAGCTATGCAGTATCTGCTGGTATGAGCCGTGCAGAGGAATAGACATTCCTGTGCATTGATAACATCAGCATTCCTCTCTGTGTAGGAAAAATGAAAATATGCAACATCAGAGATCAAAATGCAAACCACAAATTAAACTGTTAAACAATAATCATAATACACACGAAATACACACCCATGAAGATACAGTTTTTATATTTAGTTTAGTGTGATTAGATTTATGGTATTATGACTATAATCTGTGTTATTAAGTTTATTATATTATTGCATTATGATATTATTTATTGCACATAATTAGTATATATATATATATATATATATATGTTCTCACATGTTAATGCATCCAGAAGATGCTGGTCACAGCAAGGTCAATGCATTTCTTGTGTGGGGTCCTCCATCATGACCTCCCCAGGCCTTCGGGCAATAGTCACCACACCTGTAAAGTTGGAAATAAAAATGTCTATATGACTTGTTCACTATATTTCAAGCTTCTGAAGCCATATACCATAGCTGAGGAATAGACATTTACTGTAGCCTATAAATCATACGACATTTTTAATACAATGATACATTTAGGCTGTTTGAGATCTAGTGTGATCGAATGATTGAATCAGTAAGTTGACGTTTAAGTGTAGATCTTTAATAATCCTTTCCAAAATATTTTTAATCCGACTGGAGTTCCTCCTCGGGATTCGGAATATTTATTTAGGTCTTACAAGGAGTCAGATCGGTGGTAGACTAGATGTAATTTGAAATTATAACCAGTGTTGGGGAAAGTTACTTTTAAAAGTGATGCATTACAATATTGCGTTACTCCATTAAAAAGTAACTAATTACGTTACTTAGTTACTTTTTATGGAAAGTAATGTGTTACGTTACTTTTGCGTTACTTTTTAAATCTGGACAGGGCTTGCTTTGTTTTTAAAATAAAAAAGTTATATTTTTGGCAAATATAAAAGCCTTTTCACACCAAAAGTGAAATGAATAAGCCTCAGGCTGAAGGGAAAGCACATTTACGTCCGTACAGTAGAATACAGAAGAAGAACTTTCAACACACTTCAGCAATAAACAAAGACACACAAATGTTTGTCTAGAGTAATTTGTGCTTATTAGTATGATTGAACTGGATCATCGAAGGTCAGAAGCAAAGACATTGCTTAATAGAATGGGATTAAATACATAAAGCATATTTGTGTTGTTTAACATTTAATTATTGCAGGTTTGCGTCATATTCTGAGTTGCATTATTTTTATTCATTTTGAGGAATACTGAATCTGTGTGTTTTTAGTTGTTTTTTTTGTGAGTGAGATGAGTTAATGCATATTCATATTTATTTTAGATCTACAGTAACATCTCCTGATTTCTCTCAACATGGGGACAGGAGAGCTGTCCGTCAATACATTTGAAAAAAAGTAACTTGCGTTACTTATTTGAAAAAGTAACTCTCTTGTAAATTAAAAAGTAATCCGTTACTTTACTAGTTACTTGAAAAAAGTAATCTGATTACGTAACTGACATTACTTGTAATGCGTTACCCCCAACACTGGTTATAAAACATGGTAAAAATGTCAATTACTAAGTATAAAGTAGGCCTACATATCAAAAAGTGCTTTCTACAGTCTTGAGAATTGAGGAAAACGAGTGCATGTAAACATTCACATGGAACATGTTGAAAATGATGAATCTGATTCTCAAGCTCAACTCGCTGACTTGAGTTGAGCTTCAGGACCTGAAGAAATCTCCATGTGTTTCACAAAACCTGCATCATGCTGTAGCGTGGAACGTTTTGAGGAGGAGTCTGTTTAATATCGCGTTGGTTGTCAGTGAATATGCTAGGTTTTGTCCTATTGTGTCATTTAAATTGTTATGTACGGATAGTAATTAACCTGCTGCATTGTTATAGCCAGCCTATATTTCCTTTCGAGGCTATAACGTATTCTGGGTGCATTTCTCCTACTACCCACAAGAGGCTGCAGCATCACAGCTAACTGACTTGTCATGTAACTCAACATTATCTTTACCAGCAGGTCAAACAGTAACGTTACTAGGCAGATGCAGCGAACCCATGCAGATTTAAACCCGTCACCGACCAATACTGGCTCATAGAACAACCGCCGAGAGAGCTTGTCTTTAAACGGTTTAATAAAATTACATGTATTTTCTCTTGGTTTACGAATGAATTGTTTTATTTAATTTAGGTGGCCGCACACGTCCCTCTTGAGGATGTCACGGCATTACGCGCGCTCGCTGACAGAATGATGGCACGCGCTCCTCTCCTCACCGTAGCAACCGTTAAACAACATTCAAAACTGCTGCGGGTTTGACAATATGGAGCGGTTTCCACCCAAATTCAGTAAAGTGCTGGTGACACCTGACCCGCAGTACATCCCAGGGTGAGTTCTCAGTTATTACCCTGTATTATTATTAATTCATCTGTTTCTTGTTTTGTTCCAGAAATTAGCTGTGTATGTTAAAGAGTTTGAAAAAGTACTTTTTTTAAATTATTATTTTGAATGATAGTTTAAATATAGTTTATAGGTCTGGGTTTATGAAATAAATCTTACAAAATCCTTTCTATATGTAACGTGACAGGAGACTCAAAACAAACAACGCGTGTCTGTTGCCAGCAGTCATTCTAGTCTACTGCCAGATGTCTCAGCACAGCCAGCGAAGGATCGAACGCAACTGTTTTGAACGAGCGCACATTTTTTTAACAACCAAAAAGTTTTGTTGTCTGTTGTGGAAGAACAGACGTTCCTCTCGTTGATAGCGGAGGAGTGGATCCAGCGAGAGCTTGATGGGGCGACGCGGAATGAAAAATATTTTTTTTAGAAGTCGTGGTAGCAGAGGCGGCGCAACTATAATGGCATGTGAATAATCCCGCCCACTCTAAAGCGGTACTGAACTGCAGTGGAAATGCAAACCGTGTCGAGCCGAACCATGCCGTGCCGTACTGAGCCGTGCCGAGTCGTACCACGCAGTGGAAAAGCGCCATTAGACAGCTAGCTTTCCCAAGGCAGATGAACTTAGAGTGGTTTCAATCAATCGCGATCAAATTGATTTGATTTTGACGCAATATTTACACTGAAGCTCGCAGGCGGCTATGGTAAGGGGCGTGACATTTCCAGACCAGGTGCCAAGTGCTGCCAATCACAACACATTTCGTATTTCAGAAGGCGGGCTTTCATTTGATACAGGAGCCGTTCATGCCAGACTGGGGAAAGAGGTGTTGTAATAATGTAAAATATGTGAAAAAATAATGTGTTTTTCGAACAACCTAGTATGAGAGCCTGTTCTAGTACACCCCCAAAACAAAATCAAGACTTTGTAAAAAAGCATAATAGGACCCCTTTAACTTTAAACCCCCAAGGTATTTCAATCTTCAGCATTCATTTTGCCTTTTTACCAAATGCACTTTTAATGTATTGGTTTAATAATATAATATATAACATAATATAGGCTATAAAAGCATGTTTAAAAGGACACTCAAAACAAAATGAAAATGCTCTCATCTATTCGCCCTCAAGCTGTCCCAGATGTACATGACTTTCTTTTTTCAGATGAACACAAACAAAGATTTTTTGAAAAATATTCCATCTCTGTGAATCCATACAATGCAAGTGTATGGGACCTGCAAAGCTGACGCTTCATGAAGGGCTACATCAGCTAATTGTGAAGCAATGCGTGACTCGAGAAGTGACGTGGAATAACAGAGGACCGTCACTTCTTGTGAGTTTCACAGCGCATTAATTTACATCAGACTTCACAACATGCTAACGAAGCGTTGAACAGTTGGTCAGAAGTGATGGTTTATAGTTAAAAATTTTTTAAATATTAGTATTTTTCTTTGCTTCAGAAGGCATTGGTTCATCAGCTGGGGTCATGTGGATTACCTTTGTGTAGTTTATGAAGCATCACCATTACGTGTCCCGTACACTTGAATTATATGGACTTAAAAGTATTATAATATAATCATTATTGCCAACATCTGCTGATGGTTTTGTTTAGGTATGCAGGCTACTGTCCTCAGCTGAAGTATCATGTGGGCCAGACTTATGGTCAGTTAACAGCAAAGCTCCTATCTTCCCCGGAGGTGTCTCACTCACAGAGGCTTGTGCTCCATACCGGGCGTCTCCCATCCACAGAGGAGGACACAGGACCCCGCAATGAAATCTGGAGAAGCCGACATGGAGGCAGCAGGAGCCTGGAGAAAATGATTCCGGGATACACAGGTAACAGTTTGGGGGGTTGCAATACTTGGCATCTAGTTTGCAAAACTGTTAACATGCACTATATCTCTCTCTTGTGCTCCAAGGTTTTGTTCCATTGCGTCAAAACTACTTCTGCAAAACATATGCAGAAACCTGTCGAGATGCACTATCAGAGTTCAACCAGGAACAAGAAAAGAGACTGCGTGTGGCTTCTGCTGACCTGTCTTTTTCTTTCAACAACAGCGTCCCAGACTTCAAAGTAAGCTGTCAGAGTCGGATTGCTTCTCTTTCACAGCTCTCCTGTGTAGGGTCACCCTGTTTAATTATACATGCTAAATATCCAGTATCAAAGCAGGTCAAGTGTCACATGCCCTGTAAATGAAAAGAAGTACTGTTACTAAACAAGCTCTCCAATCAGGACACCACATGATTTCAGCCAATTATCACCCCATTGTGTTACAACAAGCTGTGAAGGTCCCCTGATTCACAGATGATAGAAGCTGTTTTTTTTAGCTATATTCATCAGCTACCTTTTTCAATTTGTTGTTCAGAAGATATTTACAATATCTAGTTATAGTTAATAAAAGCTGAATCTGATGGTTGTCCTTTGTTGTAGCCTAAAAGATTGAACAGCCCTCTTACAGCCATATCTAAAGATCCTGCCCCTTACAAGGCCCCGGACCCCTGGAAGCCACAAGGCTCCCCGTACCTCATGGAGGAAAGCAGCCCACATAAGTATTTCATCTCAGGTTAGCCAATGTTGGGCTTACTAAGAAGCAAATGATGGTGTTTTAAATGTACTGTAAATGTGATGAAGGTGCTCAGAGCTCTCAATTTTGTACCAATTTGTAATAATTGTCATTTTGACAGGTTTTACTGGCTACGTCCCCAAAGCCCGGTTCCTCTTTGGTGCTGGATATCCCATCATCACCAACAAGGCACTGATCCAGTTTGACAAAGAAATTAAGGCAGGTCGGATCTCATTCAACTTGCAAAGGGAGGAGTCTGCCAGCTTGCCTCTGATACCCACAATATACCCCTCCAAAACAGGGCTCCTACCCTCCTACATGGGGCACATACCAGGTATGTGTAGATGGTAATTATGTTCTTTTGTAGAAAGCTTGTTATTATTTATAGTAATTAAGCGAGGTAATTATGTCAACAGGGTACAGATTTCAATATGGCCATACATTTGGGAAGCTCACCAATGATGCTTTGGGTCACATTGGTACACAGAAGAAGAACACAGGGGAAAACAGACTGGACTGAAGACCCAAAAGTGCAAGTGAAATCAGTTATCACACATAACCCATCTAAGAACAATTAAAGTAATTTTGGTCATCTAACAAGCAACATGTAGCTGTTGAGTTAGTGTTGTCATATTTAAGTGAATGTACCATAATAACTTTAAAAGTGGAATTTTGAAAGGAATTGGTGTGATCACTGACAAGTCAACTAAAAGAAATCTATTTTTTCAAAAGACATGCTTTTTATAACCTTCTTGCACACAAATACACAAAAGCACACAATACAAACATTAAGGACTCAACAAATCTTCATCATCATAAGTTTCCAATTAGGCACAACTTTAATATCAGGAAATAGAAAAACCACTGCCGTTAAAACTCACTCATTATCAAACCATCATCTTCAATGAGCTCTTGTCCGTCTTTGTGTCAAAAACATCAGGGGTCATGCTTGGGCAAATGTAGTCATCAACAAATATCACTACTGAACTAGTCCTGCTGTTGAAACAGTAATATATAGATACTTAGCATGCATCTTTATTAAAGAAAGTAGCTATCTAATTGATTTCATCATGCAAAAATGCAATAAAACCAGCAGTTGTAATTCACAGAATACTGAAAAAGAAAACTATTAGTTTGTCATGCATAGACATTAATGCTTCTTTATCATGCATGGACATGGCTAAGTTATAGAAACAATGTCAAACAGACCATGAGGAAAAGTATTTTGTTTATAATGCCAACTAGTTCAACAACAGCAGAAATTATATGACTAGATTTACATGACAGCTAATGACCTGAGACAGAGATAAAGTGCAGAGTTTGGTCGGAAAAGACGTCTTGGGACCTCGGTTCCAGTTTTGTGCTTGATTGCTGGCAGACAATATCCATTCATGTTATACTCTGCATTATACTGTGTTATAAATTTAAACTAAAAAAAATTGTTTCATCATCATGTCTTAAAGCTAGTGAATATTTTGTTACCTTTTAAATACCAAGTTATAATACAACTTATCCTGATTGGTAAATCACTAAGGCAGCATTCCATCCGGGAACAGATATGGTGCACTTGTATTGGATTGTACAGTATGAGTCGGTTGGCTATGTAAAGTTTATTTTGGATTAATTGTGCTTTACTCTGTCTAGCTAAAATCAGACTCTTTGCTGGCTCTTTAGAGTTAATATTTCATCTTTGTTTGGTGTATCTCCATCATGGTTACCATTCAGATGAGCCTCTGGCAATTTCCCTGTCCATACTGACTGCGCAAGCAGATCCACTTTGGATGCACCAAGCTTCAGCCATTCTGAGGGCTGCCTGGAGGAAGACAAATGTTCTGACATAAAGACAACCAAAGCTAACAAAGTGAATTTATCAGAAGTTTTGAAGAATCATGGTTACTAACCTACTTCTCAGAGGTCCACTCATGTTTTTTTGTGCCTTCTGTGGGCCAATTGGTGTTCCAACTCTAGAGCCGAAGAGCCTGGCAAAACGCAGCTCACTAAAGTGTTTGTCCTCTAGAGGACTTGATGAAGATTGTGACATCTCACTGTTTTCCATTCTGGTTGCTTCATCCTCTTTCTTCTGTGTTTCACACTGTGAGATGGGTGTCTGATTTAGCCAAAATCCGTCAGTTACCCTTTTATTGAAGGCATCACTGTGACCTGTTGGACTCCTGCTGTTCTTCTGGATCGAGCTCATCTCCAGGATCTGAGCTGACTGGCCAAGAAGCCATTGAGGCAGGGGTGCTCTGTTCGTTTGCTTTTCATTACTTTGAAGGTGAGGTTCAGATGGAAGATAGAGGTCAAATGGCAGCAGAGAGAGTGGCTGCAGCAAAAGCAGCAGCTCTTGGAACAGTGGTCTATAAGTTGGCCCCTGGG